TGAAGAAAAAAAAATTCAGTTCAGGCCAATCAAAATGTTTTTTGTTTCGATAATTTTGAAACATTTTGTTTTGATTTTGACCTTTTTTTGTTTAACTTTTTTTCTTAAATTAAAATTAGCTTAATTTTTAAATGAAAAGTTGAAAAACTTTTTTTTTTTTCATTTCAAAAATGTCAAGGAGACCTTCTGAAAATTTCAAAATTTCTTGGTCGCTTTTTTTCCCCCCCCAAATTGGGGAAATTTGTCTAAACTGACCTTTTCCAGTGACAAGCTTTGGCTTTGACTAATTGGTATTTTCCAGGAAAAAAAAAAAAAAAAAAAGTTCTGTTGAAAAATTCCCTCTAACGTTACTGTTTCCATCTGTGGTGCCCATACCTGTATGGGCATGTAATAATCCTGTAGAGTTCCATGGTCTGGTACAATCTCCTCCCAAAACAACTGGGCATAAAAACATTACCAGTCCCGAGAGCATCCCATGGCTTTTAGTTATGCTACGTATGTTCAGTGTAAAATCAATTTGCTTTGCTTTGCTTGCTGCTTGTCATTGTCTTAGGGTTAGCTGGTGTAGGAGGCAGTACTTGGGGGGGACTGTGCCACAATCTCTTCTGTTCCAGGGCTGATTGGTGCACATGGAGGTGTAGGTTGGGGACAGAGGTGACATTGGTCATCATCACACATTAACATGGCATAGACTGATTATGTTCTCCAAGGTGCTGGCCTCTCTCCATGGGCTGGTGTGGAGGGGATGGGATGGGCTCATGGCCCCACCTCTCCTCTCCCCTTTCTGAGTCATTTATTTCACAGACGAGCAAGGGCTAAGCTGTCCCTTCTCACGTTAGATGCTACTGCAGTGTGCTCTTGCATAGGCCAGCCTGTGGTGGGGGTGCTTCTTGCCTGTGTCTCTTTCCGCCCCCAGCACCAGAGCAGGACACAATCTGGCCCGTAGTCTCTCTTTATTTCCCCTCGGTTTGGTACCTTGGAATCTGCTCCCGCTTCCCTCAGGATAAAGGTAATTCCTTTGACGTCCACAGAGTTATGCTGCGGGGAAACTGGTGTCAGTGAGCAGGGATTCAGACCTAACTTTCTTCTGATGTCCTCCAGTTTTACTTCAGTGTAACTCCATTGGGCCTGATTCTCCCCTGTTCTGCCTCCCTAACACTGAGGACCAGCTGCAGCCAATGCTTAGAGCAGCTTCCAGGCTGCTTTTAATTTTTAGCACTGATGCAGGATCATTAATGGACCCTACTCCGATGGAGGCTAGCCAGACTGGTGTTGCGCTCCACCCCTCCCTAGCCCCCGCTGCCCACAACATGCTCCCTACTCGTAGAAGGGAGAGCACACCAGGCTTAAGGCTACTACTAGTTACCGTAGTATCTGAGCACTTCACAGTCTTTAATGTATTGATCCTCACAACACCCCTGTGAGGTAGGGCAACGCTGTGTCCCCATTTTAATGGAGGGGGATCTGAGGCACAGAGAGGTCAAGTGATTTGCGCAAGATCACTCCAGGAGTCTGTGGCAATGAAGGGACTTGAACCCAGGTCTCCGGCTAGAGCTCTAACCACTGGACCATCCTCCCTCTAGCGATGGTGGGGAATTTTCTGCTGGTGGCTTGCAGCCAGTTCCCAGGTGGAGTGGTAGTAAGGGGCAGATCTGAGAATACAGCCCACTCCGTTGACTCCAGTCAAGTGACTCCCATGTTTTGCTGGTATAAGTAAAAGCAGAACTAGCCCCACTAATGTTTCCCTCCTACCAGGTTAGGCAGCCCTATGCTGCACTATTCTCTCCCCCCCCCCCCCCCCCCCCCCCTCCTCTTTTCTTTTTTTTTTTTTTTCTTTCTCTTTTTTACATTTCTTCTTTTCCTGCTGGTTCCCCGAAGTCTGGTTTCCAGGCGATCAGCGCCCATTAACTATTCCACCGAGTGTGCTATTGCTCTCCTGTCTCTCTGTACTGACGCTCAGCTGCAGTCATTTGCTGAACTCAGCTCCTGCGTTTGGGCTTTTTTACTATTTTTATGACAAACCTATTAATAATAATAATTGTTAAAAAAGATACTCGACAGGCAGGAACAGCACGTGGAAATGGCTGCATGCAAACTCTGGAGGGAGGAGGGGTGGCCGGACACTTTTGCTAATGCTCTGTGGCTGTGTTGGCGGCGGGCGTTTGGAACGCTGTGTTGTCTAACCCCCTGGTGTTAAAAAGGCCAGCAGCCCTGGGGGCCTTGTCCACATTAGTGCAGCTCCCACCTTTGCTATCACTGGAGGAGCTAGTGCAACAGAGTGGGTGGGAATATTCTTCAGATAACCTTACTGTGCACCAGGGCTGGGATCAAGGCTTTAGTGTCACTCAAATGTCATATTTACAGGCTCAGTCCTTAGCTTGTGCAAACTGGTGTCCTTCCACTGAAGTCAGTGCAGCGACACTGATTTACACCAGGCAAAGACCTGGCCCTACAAGGATTGAGACCAGCTCTGCTCTCACATTCACTGGTGTAAATCCAGACTAGCTCCTTTGAAACCAATGGAGTTGCTCTGATTTTATACCCATGGTGCTTTCAGTGGCATTAGTGTCAGTGATTGCAGAATTTAGCTCACTGTGTGCAATTCAAAGGGCTGATCTTGTGCAGGGTTGAGTACCCCCAGCTCCCATTGATTTCAATGAGATTTGAGGGTACTCAGCACCCTGCAGTATCAGACCCTCCGTAAAGGACAAGGTGGGGTAAGGCATCGCTTCCTCATACAATGTTGTGCCACCTAGGAGGGGGTGAATTTATTCTGAACCCACTTGAACACTGTGGGTTTGAACATTCAGCTTGAACAGGTTTGTTTGTTTGTTTGTTTTTAATAAAAATGCTTTATTGCTTATCAGATAGAAGAGACCACAGCAAGGGTTAAGAGAAAGAGAGGCAAAGTGTAATGAACAGACAAGATGGGAGCCGAGCAGAAAGGGACAGAGAGTAAAGAAATTATAGGGAATGTGAAATAAAGGAGTGGTGTGTGAGAGGGAGATTATAATGAATACAGTGGGCCTGATTTTTATCTCATTGTCAATTTCTCCGTACACAAACAGACTGACAGAAAAATATTTCCATCGATAATTGAAATCTACAAATAGGCAAAGGAAGAAAACACTGCTTGACAACTTATTACACTTTGATTTAAGGATATTTACTTTGCACATGTTGATATGTGATGTTGACAATTTGTGTTTTAATGGTTATAAAGCCTGAACTTTTTGAATCTCAATATCAATTGTTGTTAAATAATTATTGCTAAGCCCCGCAATAATTTCCCACAACTGTGAAAATTTAAATGGATAAAAATAAAAGATGCTTAAAATCCATAATTTTGCATAACTGAACATTTAAACCAATAACAATCTAAAAAGATGCTTACAAATAAACATCCATTTTATCCTCTCAAAATTAAAAAAGTAAATTCTGCCAAGCCTACTGCGGCACTCTGTACCTCAAAGCAGCACCCTGGAACCCATATTCACCCCTGTCGTGTAATTATGATATATTTCATACAAAGCATGCCATATAAGATATCATAGGAAACATGAACTGCTGAAACCCATTGTTCTGTCAAAATATACATATCATTAGTGTGTATGAAGTTATGGAATTTCGCTGTATGGTTGTTACTGAAATATGTTATAAGTTTGGGATCCTTCCATTGCTAGTTCTCCACTGACAACAAAGGAGGTGATCCATACCCAAGAGGGCATTGAACGACCATTAATCCACAGGGGAGTTGTAAACAAAGGGATTTACAATTCTGTAAGAGAAGCACCACACAATGGGGGATTGCTCAACCCTGTGACTCAGCAAGGGACTCCAGGCATGCCTGGGCTAGTGTCTTTCCAGGGACATGGACTAAGAGTATCAAATAAGGGACAGTGGCATTGTGCTTTTACCTTTCTCCTCCACCACCTACACGGGAAGCAACAAGAATGCTGGAAAGACAAAGACCTGAACTGAGGAGACTGGTCCCAGGCTTAAAGGGAAAGCCTGTGTATTAAGACTGTAACCTACCTACAATATCCAATGGACCCCAAAATCTTTTTATTTACATATTATGATTGGGTTTTTTGTTATTATTTTCTCTAGAGTCTGGACTTTAACTATACCTTGACCAAGAAATTTGAACCTTGACAAAAAATAATCGACTTACCCCTGTTCTATACGAACAATCAATCCATCAGTTGCCAATGTCCCTTCAAAAAGTCAAGCCTGACTCCTTTCCTATAGGCAGGTTTTACACTAGTATAATTCCATTGACTTCACCGATTTATACTACTGTAAGCGAGGAGAGAATTAGGCCCTGCCAATGACAGAACATGTAGATGGTATAATTAAGAATAGATTGTAGCTTTCATCCCCATTTCACAATAACTATACTCCTGGAGGGGAGTTTAAACTATCACCTCCAGCTTCTTTCTTTTATTAAACAGGCAGGATACAAACCCGCTGTTATCCTCTCTGCAGCCTTTGAAACACAATCAGCTCACAGTAAAAACAGGACTTTTCCTCCTATGCCTGTGAGGTTTGAAAAGATGGGTTTTTGATAGGTAATTTTGCTTTGTGTTGTTCCCCTTGCCAGTAACCTAACATTAGTTCCAGGGGAGGGGAAGGGATTTTAAGAGGGTTGTACAACCCCATGTGAAACTTAGCTTGCAATATGCATGTTGTTAAACATACATTTCCCCCCTTCCCGTTGAGGTTAATGGCAAATCGTTTCTAGGCTTTTCAGGGCTGGGCCAGAGTGAGGAATAGGAACTCTGTTCTCTTTATAATAATTAGGTGTGACTTCAGGTATCTGATGCTTGGGGACTGATTTCCTGTACATTGCTTCACGGGGACATCCATTGTCTACCTCTGTACTGGAAATCTGACCTTTTTTTTTGGTTCTTGTCAAAGGTCAGCTCTCACCTTTCCCCATCTCGTAACTTGTTTAGCTGCTCAGGTACTATCATGGACTTTCTCTTTTCATTCCTCAGTGTTTTAAACCGCACCCCTGTGCACCTGGTCCATGAAATCATATTAGTGGATGACTTCAGCGATGATCGTAAGTGACTCTCCATATCTTAACCACCAGGAGACAGACTGCACACAAGGGGGCTGTGCTGCGTTGGGATGACAGAATAAGTGAAGGGATGGGGAGTACACAGCCCTATGTTGGGTGATGGCAGTACATGGGAGCTGTATTACCTTTCACATATAGCCCCCTTTGCAATGAGCTTGGGATTCGAGGGTGTGGGGCTGGGCATGGAGCTAGAGACAGATTCTTTAAGCTGGAGGAACTTTATGTATCTCATTTGCCTGTTTATGCTGTCTGTTTAATTTTTATGCTTTAACTCAGGATAGACAGTACAGTGAGGCTGGTCAGCTTCATTTTCTGTTTATAGTCAGTTTCACTTTCTGGTTTCCATTCACTATAGGGCATTGGTTGAAAATCTGGCTAAAATTTAGGCTGTGTACTGGGAAGCTCTGAGAAAGCCCAATGGCCAGGAGAGCCACGTCCGCAAGTTGTCTTTGTCTTAAAAAAGCTCTAAATAGTTTTTTTCGTTTAAACAAATAAACATTGCCATGCAGAGTTTGCAGTAGAACAGGATGGGAAATCCATTTTTTCAGCCTGTGAAAATTTTTGAGATTTCAAAAAACAATTCCAAGCAGGATGTGTGGACAATTTCAAAATGTTTTTTTTTTTTCCAAAAAAATTTTGAAACAGGAAATTCATCATAAGTGACCTTTTCCCTCTGAAACGTTTTGGTTTTGAAGAATCAGCATTTTCCAACCCAAAAACCTTTCACTGAAAAATTCCCATCCAGCTTCAGTTTGCAGCCCACATGTTACCACATGATACTGGTGCATGAGACTCTGAAAGTCACTGTCTAAAATCAGAAGTAAAACTGACTGGTCTGTTTTCATTTTCCACGCGCAAAAAGTATGTAAGTAGCTTGTATGATACAAAATCAATACAGCTGTGTGAGAGTCTACCAGTTTTAATAATCTAAGGTGTTAGAAAGGGAATTTGTTTTTTAAAAAAAGATTTTGAACCACAGTTCACACTTCCCTTTCTACAAAGGGTGGGGTTGCAAATGCTGCATGAGAATTTCAAACTCCAAAAGAGAGGATCTGTTTTAATTGAAACCAAATAATCATTTCTGTTCACAGCAGGCCTGATTCTAATCCCACACCAATTTTACACTGGTGGTGGTCTACTGTGGTAGATCTAATTCTCAGTTACACTGCTATAAGTCCAGAACACCTTTTGAGTTAAGTGGAGCTATTCTGGATTTGCACCATTGTTCCTGAGAGGAGACTCTCACTTCAAAGGAGTAACTCCTGATTTTCACTGGTGTAAGGGAGAGGGATTCAGATCCGTTTAGTGATCATTTGTAGCATAGTGAGCCAGCTACAGCTGTGTCATAAAATGATGCTGTAAATTACACATGGGACCTGATTCTCCCTCCATTACACCCATTTTACACAGTGTCACTCTGTTGAAGGATGTGGGCCAGATCTCAGCTGGTGTAAATAGGCAACGCTCCATTGACTTCAGTAGAATTACGCCGGTTGAGCCCAGCTGAGGATCAGGCCCAATGATGTTACACTGGCGTGACTGAGTGGAGAATCAGGGCTGTAGAGTGAAGTGAATAAGAGAACAGGTTTAATTGATACAATGAATGCTCATTGCATCACTTTAACTTGCACACCAAGGGGCTGCAAGGTGTAGCAGAAAAGCAACTAAAAGGAGGATGTAAAATACACTTATACCCATTTTCCAAGCAATTTACTCTCTACCTGCCAACACTCAAAGGCTATAAATAGGGCTGGTTGAAGTGCATATTAAGCACAAAGGGTCGGATTCTGATCTCACGCTGGCATAAGAGCCTGATCCAAAGCCCACTGAAGTCACTGGAAAGACTCCTGTTGAATTCAGTGAGTTTTGGATCATAAAATCATAGCATATCAGGGTTGGAAGGGACCTCAGGAGGTCATCTAGTTCAACCCCCTGCTCAAAGCAGGACCAATCCCCACCTAAATCATCCCAGCCAGGGCTTTGTCAGATTCTATATCAAGAGCAACTACACTGAAATCAGTGGAGTTACACTGATGTGAAACTCTTGTGACTGAGATACGAACCAGGCCTGGAGCTTTTCAGTCTGCTGGAAGAGATGAGAATAGGTGTGATGTTTGAGGGATAGAATAAACACATGACAGCTATTTGGCTAAAAAATATAAGGCACTTACCTTCTTAAAAGCAGCAAGTTGTTGGGCTAGATCTTCATCTGCATCAGAGCTCTACATGGGACAAGATGGGGAGAGGGTGCAAAGGTGGCTGTCAGTCACCTTTGCACTCCCCTTAGTCCTTTAGGTATCAGAGGTCACTTTGGTGCCTGCCTAATTTAGAGCAACCTCAGGACTGCTCTACATTGTACCCAGCTGCAACAGCCCCCAAGGAGCCATTCTACAGCTGAGATTGCCAGAGTGCAGTAGTGCTCCATTCATCCCTTCCTTTCACCTTGGCCATGCCCTTTAGGCCACCCAAGGGTTTTCTTGCCTCATGAGGGAACAGAGACCATGGGGGTGAGGTAATATCTTTTATCAGACTAATTTCTGTTGGTGAAAGAGACAAGCATTTGAGTTACACAAAGCTCTTCTTCAGGTTTACTTATGTGGCTGGTTATCTAGATTTACACTAACGTAAATGAAGTCAGAATCCAACCTAAGCCCTGATTCTCCTCGCCCACTGATTTTACATTGTCATTCTATTGGACCATATCCTCAGCCCTTGTAAATCCATCTAACTCCATTGAAATAAATGGACTGATTTACACCAACGAGGTAGCTGGTCCATTTACTTCAGCAGAGTCACTCATGATTTACACAGGTGTGCGATCAAAATCAAGCCCAGTTTCTATCTGAGGTGCCACCCATGAAAAAAATAATCCTTCCTGCCCTCTTAATTACCCTGTGAGGCCCACGTCTGGTGAAAGTTATAGCCTCAACATTGATGTGTTCTGTGCCTCTGTGTTTCCAAAGCTGACGACTGCCGTTTACTGGGCAAGTTACCCAAGGTGAAATGCTTGCGCAACAGGCAACGAGAAGGTAAGATCCTGTTGGTGAGGACACAGGTGGGTGGCAAGACAGATGGATGCCCAGTTGAGTTGGCAGGAGTGACTGTGTTGGGGTGATGTGGTCACAGGGAGGTCTGCCGGACTTCTGCAAATATCAGTGACTCTTGGCTCTGAGGGGCGAGAGCACTAATAAAAAGAGATGTTCAGAAGGGCCAGGAATCAAAATGGATTCCCCCCCACTCAAAGAGATTGGACCTATTAAGATATCCAATGAGGCTCAGCTGCAGCTTATTAGCCAGAAAATTAGAACAGGCAAAACAAAGCCCGGGGACTTCTTTTTAAAGCTGTTTGTTCTAATGAAACAGACGAGATCAGCTCCTGCTGCCTCCATGGGAATTTTAAAAAAATGTAAATTAATTATATTTTAAAGATTAAGAAGATCTGTAAGGAGGATGAACGTATGCCCTGGGGGGCTATTGCTGGCGACCTCCAGATACACTTTGCCACCCAGCCCCAGAATCTAAATGGATATTTTCTAATGCTGCTTTACAGTATTAAAAAAAAAAATCAAAATGTTTTTAGTGGCAAGCCAAAGGCATGAGCTATAGGGATTTTGTGGAGTGGGGAGATAGGGAGGATGGGGAGTAGAGGGGGTTTATCTGAGTATTCTCCTGCTTGGCTGGATTTGCTATGTTAGACTGGGGGTGAATCTTGAGTGGCCCCTTTGATGTCAGAGAAGTTCTCTGCATTGACACTGGTGTAAGTGAGTCACAATCTGGCCCTCTCTCTGGATTTCTGTCTGTCTTTCTCCCAGCCAAACTGTGACACCCCACCACATGCACTCCACATACAGACATGCTCCTCCATGGCATCAGAATGCCCTGACCCAGTGGAAATGGGTTCTGCTGCAGATGCAGGTATGTAGGGAGTCATGATTTGGGAACCCAGCCCAGACAGGTCACATCCACTTGTACACCACAGAGTTATACTCCATTGAAGCTCTTTGCACGCTGCCTGTAGGCAGTTGGGGCAAGGGTGTGGTGGAGATGGTAGGCCCCTAGCTAGATGACAGAGCCTGGAGCTGCCATAAAAGTTGTAGAGTGCAGTCAGAGTGGATCCTCCATTCTCCAGTCCACAAGGATATCCCCAGTAAACCTCATAGTCACTCAGGTTGCCCCAGGTTCCAGGGTTTGGCCTGTCTGTCTGTCTGTCTCTCGCTCTTGCTCTGACTCCATTCGTGGGGTATGTCTCAGTCCCTTTCCTCCAGGTTCTTGTAACATAATTATCAATGAGCTCCTTCTGCCTGTCCCTGCAATGCTGCTTCTTGCCTTTGTGATCTTCTATTTCCCAGCATCCCTCAGTTCCTTGTTGTCTCCTTTCATCCCACCACCACTACCACCGACGGTGCTATTCCAGCACCGCCTCCATTCTTGTGTCCCCATTTAGTGCTCTCAGCTATCCTTGGTCAAGGTGCAAGTCCTTCTGTTTGTGGAGGGTCCATCCATTTAGTTAATGCTGCTGCTAACTGGCAAATGGGCAGTGTGCTGGAGGAATGAGCGGGGAGGAGCCATTTGACTGTAGTACAGATGGTAGATATCACATACACAGAGACAGTGGAGAGATGTAACTGGTGGAAGGAGGGCTTCGTGTTCATCTTTAGAGATCAAAAATTAACCAAACAATCCAGCCCTAAATCTGCGTGTCTGAGTAGTTCCCCATGAACTGTAGTATCACAGCTAGATATACCCACTGCATTTACCTCTGTCTCTTTCTCACATACACAAATATCCACCTCCTACATTTGCCAACAGCCAGGTGGGGGTAAGTGCATTATAATGGACACAGCAGGCTTGCTGCTCCTTGGGACCAGCACTTGAGATGTCCCCCTCCTTGATAAAAGATATGTTTCTGCTGAGCATCCTGAGCCGATGATCTTCGATGCCACAGAGGGCAAGACATCAGCGGGGCAGTAGATGGACCCAGCAGCGGGAAGTCAAGATGAGTTTTAGGGATTAGAGAGAGAGACCTATTCACGGATTGACACTACAGTTATGGACAGTCCTCCATCCCTACACCCGGCTTCCATGGACATAAGTGGGAACGTCGCTGGTGGATCCAGTGAACGTACAGACTGAAACCACAGACTTACTAAGGAGACTCACTCACTCTGTGTGGCGGAGGATGGATGGGGGTTGGTGGTGGTGGTGTGATTAAAATATTTGTTCAAATTCCCCTCTCCTTTGTCACTGCTGTTACAGACACATTCCAAGCTGAATTAAATTCACATTAGATTATTGTATCTGTGGGGGTTACTGAAGCATTTTAAGTCTTGTTTTTTCCCCAGGAAAGTGGCAGCAGAAATAATTGCATGAATTAAGAATTGGTGTAAATGCCATAAATCAGTAATCTAAATGGCCCCTTTATTTACTTTAATGACCTTGGAAAATGGAGGTGGCTTGCTCACACCAAACCCTAGGTATGCACATGTGGGATGGAGGATGGGTCAGGGCTCAAGGGTTCTGTGGGTGTAGAATGTGCTTCTGGGGAGTCCACTAAGCCCCTGCACAGAGACGCATGCAATCTGTGCTGCACCTGAGCTTGCGTGTATCTGAACAGGTTTGATCCGGTCCCGAATCCGAGGGGCAGACATGGCACAGGCAGGAGTCCTGACCTTCCTAGACAGTCACTGTGAGGTGAATAAAGACTGGCTGCTGCCTCTCCTGCAGAGGATCAAAGAGGTAAGTGTCTCAGAAAACCAAGTCACCACTCAGTTAGCACAAGTCTTGGCAAAATCCACCAATAGCTTCTCTTATGGCCAGTGGTGGACATGTGTCGGAACGTTCAGGGCTGACCCTCAGTGGGGTACCTGCCAAGGTTTTCTCTCTCTAGCCTTTCTTTAGGATGCACTAGAGTTTTCTCTCTCTCTCCTGCTCCATTGGTGATCCCAGTTGGCCTAGTTCATCCCTGATGTACTGCTGCTGTAGTCAGAAGGATTACCCTGGCTGTGCAATAGTGAGTCAGTCCCACCAGATGATGGGTATGTTGCAGAGACAGGAGGCAAGGAACTGGCCAGTGTGTGTGTGCAAATCAAGTTAGCTGAACCCCTGGGTCCCTGTTGCAATTGCTGAGAGGCAAATGCTGAGTGGTGCAAGGGGAATAGGTGGGCATTGCTCCAAGGGACTTTTCAATTAGGCTCATGTAAAAAATGCCCAATACTGATGATTTAGGGCTGTTTGAATAAGGGTTGAATTTAATTTCATGCTAATTAAACTTTAATAAATGGATTTAATAGGTTTAAATTCTGCTGATTTCACAGCAGACAATGACGTTCTCCTTCCACTAGAAACACCTTTCTCCTCGGCCTGCCCGCCACAAATAAAAGGTGGCGTGATCTTGTGGGTTCGGTGTAGCATCTGGGAACATCTGCCACTGACTCCTGTGACCTTGGACCTCACTGTGCCTGAATTTCCCCCTCTGTAAAATGGGGATAATTATACGTATGCACCTCACAGGGACATCGCATGCAGATTTTAATTAGTTGGGTGGTTAACTGTGCTTGGAAGATGAGTGTTTATGAATCATTAGATCATTATTGTTACTATTATGTGTGTCTCCTGGTAAATACTGTTATTCATGATTAAAACAGTTCTTTGTATATTTTATTATGAAATATATGAACATATCTTTGGGGAACTGGCGCATATAGGGGTGAAATGCCTTGTGTAAGGTCACAATATTATGTAAAAATGCGCTTGTTTTGCCATAATCCTGCCCCTTGTCTCTCTCATCACCCTGCAGCATCTTCTCACAAACCTACCTTGCCCCTTGTCACAAACTTATGTTGTTCCATGTGAAGCTCCGGTGATGTGGTGGGGGCACAAGTCCAGGTTAATTTCCTAACCTGTGAGCTCTCAGGGTCAGGCCTTTTTACTGTGTTTGTGCAATGCCTACCCCAACGGGGCCCCGAACTCTGACTGAAGGTGGCACTAAAATACATCTAATAAATACTGATGTAATCACAATGACACTTACATATTATGAAGACTCCCCTCTGACCTGCCCCATTACAGGGTCTTCCACTAACGTTTATTTCACTGATTGATTGTTTTTCACCCTGGATATGGCCTTTTAACACTCCTCCCCCTCCACGTTTTCCTTCTCCAGCCAACTCCTCCCTGCATTTTAACTCAAGAGCAACAGCATTTTTCCCGTTGACGTGTTCTGGCAGAGTGAAAGTGAGCAGGGTGGCAGTCAGGACTGCATTTCCCTTGCAGCGCTAGGGACCGTAGCTCATGCTCAGAGTCGATGTGTGGATGGCAGAGGCAGCAATGCCGGAGGAGTTTCATTACAACCGAGCAGCAGGAGCATGGTTTGAATGTAGCATTAAAGCCAAACATCACCTCTGCTAACTTCTGATTTGTAATTCTGTTTTAAATATGTGCATGGCTTGAAGTAGAAGCTGGCTCTGTGGTTAGCACTCTCTGCTGGTCATGCTGCAGAGGACCTGGATTCAGTCACTCCCTAGAAGTTGACAGGGACTTTGTTGAAGGGTGTTGCTGACATTTTGGGACAAGTGAGATCACTGTCAAGTAGGACTTTAAAGAGCTAGAAGAAGGCTCAGTGGCTTAATGCACTGACAGGTCTGCACTTGTAGTGACCTGGATTTAAATCCTACTTTAGGACAAAGACAGCATAGTGGGTTCATCCTACTTCCTAGTGGGCATTTCCCCCAGCTGGCGAAGCCACCACATAGGCGTGGTCGATGCACTCAGTGGTCTCTGAGATTGGAATAGCAGGGGTTATGGCAGGTCAGGGGTGAAGGGCATTGACCGAGCTGTGTGTGGGGAGCCCAGGGCTGGATCAGCAGGCACTGCTGGGGTCAGGATGGAGATGCATTAGAGGAAAGGTGTCTGGGGTGTGCAGAAATGGAACTGTAGGTGGTGCTTCAGTGAGGATTGAGGTGCACCTCAGAGCTGGGTGGGGACCTAGTTCTGGAATACCGAGGGGTGATGGGGGTGGAGGGGTGGGCAGTACTACAGGCCAGGATTGGAGGTATTTTTTGAAAATATTTTTTTTTCTTTTTAAAAATGTGACCCTTGAGAGAAATTTTTTAAAGGTCCAAGGGGTCCCTGACCCCCGTCCATTAGTCTCCTAGTTACCTGGCTCATTGCCTCCATCCTTTACACTGGGGTTAAGATACTGATCACGGAACTGTATGAAATGTTACTGCTGCCACCTTCAGGCAGGTGCTGGAAAGACAATCGGCCAATTCCCTGCCATGTTCTTTTACAGTGGTAATTAATGTTCTATAAAAAGTCTTTTCTTGCTTTGTTACTGGCAGGAATGGTCTTTGTGGTAATAAAATGTAAGTCTCGAGCAAATTAAGAATGACTGGCCCAAAATGAATCTGACTTCGCTCCCAGCACCATTCCACTCTGCATGTCACTTCCCATTTTTCACTGGGCAAAGCAGCTGTTCAGGCAGGTTTCTGGGTGTTCGGCAAATGTCAAAATAAAAGGAGCTCTGTGTGTGTGTGTCAGGGAGAGAGCGCATGCACATGTTACAAGACTGTGTTTACGACTACAAATGTGTAAGCACACGGTCTCTCTCATTTTTACTTATAGAGCTATATCTAAAACCATTACCCGTTTATTTCAACTGAATTACTTTTCTTAAAATGTAATTATCAAGCCTAAGGCATTTTTACAGTAAGAATCAATCGTAATCAGCTCACCTGAAAATTGGCTTTTGCTAATGCCACTATAATGAACCAGCGGATGGCGACGTTCCGCTTCCATCTGAAGCCCCTGACAGTTTTGTATGTTCTCCCAGTCTGTGGAGAGAGCTCTAAGGTGGGGTGTTAAGCTATAACTTTGCATGAATCCACCTCAAAGGGAGAAGGATGTCCACCGCCTTCCTGCTAACCATTCGAACTAATGAGAGGTCAACATTGGTGGTTATAGCCCCAAATAGCTGGAATAAGTTTCCTTTTCCATTGAAATATTTTATTTGACTTTTAAGAACATTCTAAAGGGACAATGCGTGGTTGACTTGCAGATAATTTAGTTTGTGTGACAACAAGATCAGTAGAAATGTGTTCATGAATTTTTGAAAATTCTAATTAAGAATTTGAGAATATGGGGGGGGGGGAGGTTTAGAGGTAAACATGCTCTTGAAATTTTTGCAACCCGAACAGTGCAGCATTGTGCTAGCCATGTGAGAGCCAGAAGGTGAAACTGACTAAAGTAAAAGTTGACTATAAATCAAATAGTAGCTATGTTTATAAGAAGTGCCTTTCTTTTTGGGATCTCAAAGCTCTTTGTGCACGCTGGGTAAGATCATTATCCCTACTGTATAGGTGTGGCCACTCAGGCACAGAGATTCTAAGTATATCACTGAAAGCTAAAATCCCTGCAGTATTTCTCTCTGCTGAGAAACACAGAGAATGTTCATGGGGATTTTCTTGTAAGAATCTTTGCTTTGTAATGAGGATGAGGAGAATCCAATCTGGACATGAATTATGGCTTTCTAAATGTGTTCATGAGCAAGTTGCTCATGGTAAAATGTTAACATAATGACCAGACATAATCATTCCTCCTCAACATAAGTTTCATACACAGTATCCTCTGATTTCCTCTCCATCCTGGGTTTAAATCCTTTTGCCCTATCTCGTGGAGACCTTCCTGCAGTGAGTTCATCAGTGCCATTCTTTGGGTCAACCAGAAGGGTCACTAGAAAGCAACCTTGAGACACCCTCTCCTCAGCCTCTTGCTGGTTCAGCCATCCAGAAATCAGAGCTGAGAAATGGACAGAGATCTCTCGTTTCATAGTGCAGAGTAGAGCTGGTTGGGACATTTTCCATTAACTTTTTTTTTTCTTGGTTGAAAACTCCAATTCATCAAAACCAAAATGGTTCGTGAAACAGGGGCAGGTTCAGCGACTCTCCTGACTTGAAAAATGTTCAGACCAAAGGTTTCAAAATCATCGAAATGTTTCATTTTGACATTTTCAAAATTAAAACATCCAGGTTTCTGGTTTGAAAAAAAAATTTTGTTTAGAAATGTAAGCTACAAAGACTGAAAAAAAAAAAAGGGTTAAACAAAAAGAAAAAGGTGAAATCAAAATGAAATATGACAAAATGTTTCCACTGACCCCAAATGAAAAAAAAAACATTTTTTGGGTTGTATTTGTCAGATTTTGACTTTTCGTCCTCATTTGTGATAGGAAAAATGTTGAATGCTTCAAAAAAAATATTCATGGGATGGGAAAAAAAATTCCCGACCATCCCTAGTGCAGAGCACTAACCTCTGGGGTCACTTATTTGGTTTTCTGTTCTGTATTGGTTGGATTCTTGTATTAAGGATTTTTCAATCAGTTTCAAAAGTTCATCATGCTGGGAAAGGAGGAGGTAGAAAAGCTTCCAGCAAAAAGGTGTGCTGTTTGAGGGGAAGGGTGATCTTGGGGTTCAGACACAAGTCTGGGTGTCAGAGCTCTGTGCACTGGCTTTGGTCAAGCCACTTAGGGATCAGTCCTGCTCCCATTGTAGTGATTGAGAGTTTTGCCATTGACTTAATCAGGAGCAGGACTGGGACTTTGTGACGGGGTCTCCAAGGTGCAACCTGGACTGTGGGACCGCTAAGCTCTCTGTCCCACCAACCTGGGCTGCCTCTCACACTGTGGTGCTGATGCCAAGGTACAAGCCTCTGATAGGCACTGCACTTACACAGCCATCCACAGGCAGGGACATGCCCAACTGAGTTACATGAATGATCTCCCAGCCTCTCATGAACTATCAATAGAGAAGCTCCAGACAATTCCCTTCAGCTCCAGCCCTATGCCCCAGAACTGTACCGTCTTGCCCTGATCAGAAGCCTGGCCACTGTAAATTCATTACCTTGTTTGCCACTCCGACAAAAGGGTAATGCACGTGCAACAGCCCCTGTTAACATGAGCTGAGATTTCCTAAGCACTTCAACCAAAACACACGGTTTTAGGTAAAATATAAAACAGATTTATTAACTACAGAAAGAGAGAGTTTAAGTTATTATAAGTAGCAGGCATAGAGATCAAAATTGGTTATCTAAGAAACAACAATAAATTCTCAGTCTAATTCTAACTTAGACTATGGATGATTTGAATCAAACAGTCCCACGTTAACAGATGGTACAGTTAGCTTATAGTTCCTCAGTACACAGACTGGACCCCCTTACAGCCTGGGACTAATCTTCCTAGTTCCAAGTCTTTTCTTTCCAGATGATTTTCCAGGTGTTGAGATGGGGAGGGGAAGAAGCCAAGTGATGTCACTGCCTCTCTTTTTATACCTTCTTCCAGTTGCTAGAAAGATCCTAGCTGTGAGGTGGGGTCAGGCAGTTCCACTGCATATGTGCCTTCTCTGAGAAGTCTCTGGGATAGTTGATTCTTCTTGATGGGCCATTAATGCTGTCTGGCCCCTCCTTTGTTGCAACTGAAAGGCTGGCTGTGGGCATCTCCCAACCTCACAGCATATTTCAGTAGCATATTTAGCAATACTTCATAACTTCACATACAATGATAGCACGTACAATCTAACAGGATATTAATGTGCAACAAATCAAGACTTTCAAAATTATATTACAAAATATATCGTGATTATATGGCAGTGGTGAATATGGGGGTTCCAGGGTGCTACCTTGAGGTACAGAGTGTCAGTCTTTAATCTCTTGTGCCTCAGTTTCTCCATCTACCATATGGGAATAACAATATTTACTGACCTGACATGGGTGTTATAATGCTTAATTCATCAATGTCCATACAAGTGCTTTGAGAGTCTCGGATAGACAATGTCATAGCAATGCCAAGAATTATCATTCCGATGTGTAAAGCCTGAGTCCCCAATATGGCCGAGCAGCACGACTTTCCGTGCTCAGCTCCTTTGTCCTGTGACTGCTCCAGAACATAACTCCTATTTGTTAGGACTGATTTCTAAAACAAAATCTTTTCCCAGAGTGAGAGAGCAAGCCTGCATGTGCTAAGACGCATTCGTCCGCATGGCTGTGAAGAGCGATTTGATCTGGTGAGGGGAAAGGCTTGAAGCTTGAGCTATAATTGGAGTTTGGGATTTTTGAAAAGAAAAAGGAAGATAAGAGACCAGTCAAAGCTGTCAAAATCTCATCCTCCTGTAGATATTTTTGTCCCTAACTGTTTGTATAATCTCTTTTCCTATAACAAGATGTTAATTAAATCACTAGTACCAAATATTTAACATCATTTCATTCTTTTTTTAACCTCTACCCCTCCTTTGACAAAAGCAGTGCTGAATGGTAATTTTGCGGATTTATGATATGTAGTGTTTTTCTGTATGTTTTAACTGGCTGGCTTTGTTTTGTCTATTCTTTAAACTGCTTGCTTGTGACTTAACTTTTGAAATTCAATAAAAATAATTGAATGGAGGTGGTGGGGGAAATTAATTGATGAATTTCTAAAAGAAAGATGGAGTTTTGTATTCAGCTAGAGATTCTTGAGCCAAGTTCGGTATAAAACCCACCCACAGCCTATGCAGTCCGGGTTTCTTTGTGAGGGAATTTAGAGCTAGTGAAAAATGCTGGCTTGACTGCCTTGGAGACTAAGTCCTCTGTTCATAATAGGGGAAGTATAAGCTTCCCCACACACCACACTGGCAGTGTCCCCTCAACCTTGTCCTCCGGGGATGAGAGTGTCTGAGCGGATGCTTCCATTCAACCCTTAGCCTTTCTGAAAAGACAGCCAACAAGGGTGAGGTTTGCTCTTGTGATACGGACACCAGTCCACCAGAAACTGGATTGACATCAGGAGTTCCAGCCAGTGAACACAGCTAAGAATTTGGCCCTCCCTTTGACTTGTCTGTCCTGTGGATCAGTAGAGGACTCCAGACCTCAGTGGCAAACCAGCTTCCTCACATCTTTGCCCATAATACAGGATTTCCCACCACCCTGCTCCTGAGGTGGCTTCTGAGGAGAAGCTACACCAGGTCAAAAGTCATGGGTTGTTTTGTTCCTTGTTCTCAGGATCCAACCCGCGTGGTCAGTCCAGTTATCGACATCATCAACTTGGACACTTTTGCCTACGTGGCCGCTTCCTCGGACCTGAGAGGAGGTGAGTGTGTGTTGTGCTCACTCCCTGTTGGGTGATGCTGATCTGTCAGGCACTATGCTCAGTAGACACTGGCGTAGGGAAGTGGCTGACTCAGTGTGAAGGAGGCACTGAGTCGGAGCTCCCTACTGTAAGGATTATTTATAACGCTCTGTATACACAGCTGGTTTGTGCAAGGCACGCTAAAAATACCCTGTTTCCCCCTCTATCGGTTTGCGAGGCTAGATTGGCCTTCGTACCACTGACTTGAGGGAATGAAGTTCCTTACTAGGGTGCTGTGGCCATGCGGGGGAAGTATTCCATCTAAACTAATCCCTAGTAGCAGAGAAAACCAGGTGTCATTGAAGGGGAGGGATATAGAGGGATAGTATTGCCATGCATATCTCCACAGCTATAATTTGGTTTGTTAGCTGAAGTTCCCTTCTGAGCTTTGCACATTTCTGGTTGCCTGATTTTCCCACTGAGTCACTCCAGATATATGTCAATGTAAAACCAAAGTGACACAGTGAAGAATCAGGCACTGAAATATGACTTCCCTCTGCTAAATGGCAAGATGACTCTTCCTTCCTTGGAGAATGCTGTTCTCTGATTACTCTGAGAGAGAGTGGCTCCTCTCCTTGTTTTTGCGTTGCACGCGCCCCTGGAGTTTTTTATTCATGTCCTTGGATTTCTCTAGAAAGTGCCAGCTAGTGCTCTGTGCAGGGACTATCTATCTACCAGGCTTGGTTGTCTGGTGGTTTTAACAGAGACAAATGGAAGCTATGATGAGACTAATGACATATTAACAGGTTTGTGTGGGAGGAGAGGTGGCCCATACTGAAGTCCAGTCTCTATAGCCTCTGCAGAAAAGGGTAACGGGGCTAGATGAACCATGAATGTATTCTGGTGTGGCAATTTATACAGTTCTATAAACAGAACCAAAGCCATTCTTCAAGTTCAGACAGGCTTGGCTCATTGCCTCTTTGCTACAATCTTTGATCCCCCTTCTCAAGATGGGGACTCAGCAGATGAGGCAGCCTCTAGTTTGGACCTCACTGCAAACTTGCTGGTTCTCTGAGATTCCTGTCTCTGTGACCCTTTCTGCTCTGCACCTCCCTGTCTAGAAGCCCCAGAACATGCAACATTTCCTACGTGCATAGAGAATGAACCAGGGCTGTGCAGTGAAGGAGGCTGTTGTTTGAGGGCCCCTGTTTCATTTGTTGCAGAGTTGAGAGATGGGTAGTGAATGAGGCAGGGGACTGCAGAAAGGGAGGGGAGAGTCTCGGGGTTTAGGCAGTTGAATGCTGCTAGGAGAATTGGGTTCTATGCCCACCACAGAGTTCCTGTGTGATGCTGCACCAGACACTTAAAGTAGACTTCTCAGAGATGGTCACTACTTGGGTGTTCCTCAATTTTGGGGGCCTGTCTTGATTTGCAGATGTGTTGAGCCCTCATAACTTCAACTGAAGTTGATAGGATCTGTGCTTTGAAAATTCAAAATGTGGTGTAATTCTGAGTACTCTGAAAAATCAGGCCCTACATTTCTCCAACTGGGCCCCCAGAGTTAATGTACACTTTGGACCTTAGTGCCTCCATGCCTTAGTTTCTCATCTGTAAAATGAGGATAGAACATAGACATAGAATACCAGGGTTGGAAAGTCATCTAGTCCACCCCCCTGCTCAAAGCAGGGCCAATCCCCAGACACATCTTTGCCCCAGATCCCTAAATGACCCCCTCAAGGATTGAACTCACAACACTGGGTTTAGCAGGCCAATGCTCAAACCACTGAGCTATCCCTCCTCCCTAATAATATCACCCCATCATCCTATAGGGGGATTGTGAAGGTAAATTTGCTAATGCTTGTGAACCCCTCCAGTATTACAGTGATGAGCACCATACGAAAGCCCATGAGGAAATTAATAATAAATAAATAAGGCCATGGGCCCACATGTTGAACAATGGTGGTAAAATGAAATATTAAATTGCTGATCATCAACTGAGCCCTGTCCATTCTGTTCACTGAATGAGGCAGGGCTCCTGTGAAGACAATAGTGTGTGCTCATGTAGTTAAAGACTGTATCCTAATGCATATGCATAAGGGTGCTGAATTAAGGCTGTACAGGCCATCTTTCTTCTGGCACTTCCTGACTTTTGAGTGCTGGACATTGCAATGTAACTTTCCTTTCTTGTAGTTTATTGTTTGTAATATTTAAATGTGTTAGACACTGGAATCGTCTCCTAAGAGAACTGGCTGCAGCCCGATTATCTGAGTCATTTGAAACTGGAGAATCAGAAACAATTCTGTGCTGATTAGGGGATGGGTTTGGTGGTCTCCTAGTTTGTGTCCATCTCCAAGTTCACCATGGTCCTTCTCTACTTTGTTCGTAGGGTTTGATTGGAGTCTACATTTCAAATGGGAACAGCTTTCCCCAGAGCAGAAAGCCAAACGAATTGATCCTACAGAACCCATTAAGTAAGTAGCATGGCAGCGAAGGGGGGAAAACTGGGGTGAATGGAGGGCTTTCTCCTGTGGAAGTTAGTGCCAGCTAGGCACCATCCAGCGCCTTGTCTGATTTTTGCCCTTTTCACTTGCAGGGAAATTTGCACATTAAGGAGTAGATTCAAAGACCATTGAAGTCTACGGGAGTCTTTCCGTTGACTTCACCAGCTGTGGATATGACCCTGACTGGAGATATTGCCCAATTCTGTAGATACAGCACACGGTTCTATTTAGCTGGTCCAGAAGGAAATCTAATTACCTAATTAGGGACCTGGTTTAACATATATGGCACCATGGAGGAGATGGATAGGTACTCCCACCCGTCCCATAACAGTCCTGAGTCTGATGGATCTGTCCTGAGTTCCAGTTTACTTTGGGTTTTACAACACAGGGTCACAATTATTATTATTATTATTATTATTATTGTTGTAATAAGGTAGGGCTTAAGGGCTCCACATGTTTCCCTCCTCCCCAAAAGGCTAAGTAAAAATAGGCGAAGGCTCCTAGTTCATCCAGCCTTCTCCCCTCAACAAAGACTCTTACTTTACTTCTCACAACTCATATTTTACCCCAAAACAAGAGGAATCCTTGAAAAAGGGTGAAACCCTTGATGAAAGCAGGTGATCCAGATCACACCTTCCCAACCAGCCTTGCCCTTCTAAGCTGCCTAAAGGGTGGACAGCAAGTCTGAAGGTAATAGGAAGTGAGTGATGAATCTCAGGAGAGTTAATCAAATCAGGAAGAGAAAAAAATCTGTCCTCATCCCTTGGACTGGAGGGAGTGCCTCACCTTACTCATTATCACCCCTTGTTGCTGGCTGAGGTATGGTGTTGGCTGGTATTTTGTCCGGTCCTTGAACAGAAGTATTGTTGTTGTGACGTGCAGCATGGAATAAGGAATGTGGTGGTGAAAGCTCAGAGGTCCAGAAATGATGCAGAGGACACACACCATGGGGAACCAAATCTTGTTATTTCTTACCCTGGTTCTTGTAACGAGCTCATGTTCATCTCCCGATGCCCCATCTCATTTCTGTGATTGTCCTGCCTTGCAAAAACAATTGGAGCCCCCTCGCGGTGCAGCGAGACCATGAGACCTGAGACAAATCCAATGCACCTTAATAGTACATGTTTGCAGGACTTGGCACAGGCTCGTAGAAATGTGACGACCCCCCCTAAAAAGGGACAAACTGCCCCCCCACCACACCACCCTTACTTCTGCGCTGCTGCTGGTGATGGTGCCTTCAGAGCTGGGCACCCAGCCAGCAGCTGCCGCTCTTGCAACCTCCCCTACAATAGTCTTGTGACCCCCTTTTGGGTCAGGACCCTCAGTTTGAGAAACCCTGGATCAAACTCACAGTGATGGCTTTTAAAAATCCCTTGTTGAATAGGCACAGGTTTCCTCTCCCTGTTGCAATGGTGCTCCCAATAAGATACGTCACAAAGGCCGTTTAGGTCATGTCATGTAAATAATCTCCAAGTGCTAAGTGCATTTTTGGTTCTGAAGCCTACAATTAGGGCTGTGAACTCTGGGCTTGTAGGAGTTGAGCTATTGGGTGCATTAGCCTGATTTTAAGTGCCAGGCAGTTTATGATTGACAGAAAAATACCAAGCCAACGAGTTAAATGGCTCTGCCTTGTTGAGACATGTGTCCTTGTTTCGAGGTAATAGGAAGATTCACAGATATATCCATCTGAGAGCAGAATAGGAAGAGAAAGGAAGTGGCTTATTGTGCATCTCGGGTTCTGCTCCAATGTTTGAGTAAGAGCTTGTCCCCTCTTCCCTTTGTATCTCTGCAGGACTCCGATCATTGCAGGGGGGCTCTTTGTGATCGACAAAGCCTGGTTCAACCACCTGGGGAAGTACGACACTGCCATGGATATCTGGGGTGGGGAGAACTTTGGTGAGTCTCTGTTGTTGCAGGGACATGTGGATCTTCATCCTCCCAAGAGATGGGGCTGGCTTTTCCTCTCAAGTATGGCCGGCGGGTATCATGGGCCAGGGGCGGCTAAGCCTCCTGAAACAGCCAGGCATGGCCCACCCATGCTCCACCCTGAGGCCCCCTTCTGCATCCCAGTCTTCCCCCATGGCCCCAGACCAGGCAGCTCCTCTTCCCGCCCTTGCTCAGCCTCTCCTCCGAAGTGGGCTGGGGCTGGGGCTAGGGCAAGCTGGCTGGTGGCCTAGGACTTGGGGCACCTGGGGCAGGTGCTCGGACCGGCTGGCTGGGCTGGGGCCAGCTGGTGTTCCGGGGCTGGGGCCAGCTGGTGTTCCGGGGCTGGGGCCACCTGGGGCTGGGGCGGGCTGGTGCTCCAGAGTTGGGGTGGGGCTCCCCTGGCTGTGGTGGGGGATTCTGGTGGGGGAAGAGGGCAGAAGGGGCAAGGTAGAGGCGGGGCCTCGAGTGGAAGGGGTAGGGCCTGGGGCTAGCTTCCCTGAACGGGGGGGGGGTGGGGGTGTTTACCACGTGCCACCCATACTCTCAAGTAGTGTCTGACTAATACTGGGTTCACTCCAAATGTTCTGAATGGTTTCCCCTAGTTATTTTCATCTGTATCCTGGGCAAGTATGAGAGCCTTTCAATGTCTCAAAGTGTTCCAACACTGAAAGGGCTGCCCTTATTGGTCTATAGTAGTCCATCTCCTCCATGGTGATAGATACAATGTTGCTAAATACGCTAAACCAAAGATTCTCAACCTGGTGATTGTGAACATGTTACTGGGGAACTGCTAGTAATCTCCCATTCTTACTTTTTTCTTTAAAACATCCAACTACGTTTCTAGCTCTTACGTTCACAGACATAATCTTAAGTATCAGAGGGGTAGCTGTGTTAGTCTGGATCTGTAAAAAGCAACAAAGAATCCTGTGGCACCCTTAAGACTAACAGATGTATTGGAGCATAAGCTTTCGTGGGTGAATGCCCACTTCGTCGGATGCATGTGACATAATCTTGAAAATGTGAATGGATGCATCAATACCTGCCTGAATTTGCAGCGTGCCTGAAATAGTAGCTCAGGCATTCTCGAAGGGGGAGGTGAGGGGTGTTGCAAACAGCTTAGCACAAGTGATCATGACTTGATAACATTTATAATGTGCAAGCAGCATAAAGTGCAGATCAGTAATATATAGAGAGTGCTTTAATGAGGCCAGTTTCACAAAGCTGAAAACAATTATGAGCCAAATCAGCTGGGATGAAGAATTTATCAGAAAAATGTGAATGATAATTTGGAATCATTTAAGAACACCTTACTAGAGGCCCCAAAAGCCACAATCAAGGAAGAAGGTTTTACTGGTTAAAAGACCAAACTGGTTTAGAGGGGAAGTGAAGGCATCTGTAAAAAAATAAAAGAATAATATATAACAAATTGAAGAAAGGGGAAGTTGATAGTAAAGAATATAAATCAGAAGTTCAGCATTGTAGAAAATTGATAAGGGAAGCCAAGGGATACAAGGAGGCATATATGGCCAGTGGAGTTAAGGACAATAAGGAGATATTTTAAAATATATTAAGAACAAAAAGAATCCTGGCAATGGTATTGGTCCGCTAATAGATGGCAATGATAGAATTATCAATAATAATGTAGAAAAGGCAGAATCATTCAATAACGATTTCTGTTCTGTATTTGAGGCAAAACAGATGATATAGTTTCATCATATAGTGATGATCACACACTTTCCATTCCATTTGTGTCTCTGGAGAATGTTAACAGCAGCTACTAAAATTAGACATTTGCAAATCATCAGTCCAGTTAATTTCTATTCAAGAGTTTTAAAAGAGCTAGCTGAGAAGCTTGCTGGATTGTTAATATTGATTTTCAAGAAGTCTTGGAGCAATGTGAAAGTTTCAGAAGACTGAAAGAAAGCTAACATGGTGCCAATTTTTTAAAAGAGTAAATGGGATGACCTGGGTAATTATAAGCCTGTTAGTCATCCCAGGCAAGATAATAAAGCAACTGATACAGAACTTAATTAATAGAATTAAAAGATTTAAAGGAGGGTAATATAATTAATGCAAATCAATGTTGGTTTCTGGAAAATGGATCCTGTCAAACTAAATCGGTATTTTTTTTATGAGATTACAAGTTTTGTTGATAAAAGTGGTAATAGTGTTGATGTAACTGACTTGATACTGCACAACATTTTGATTTAAAAATCTAGAACAATAAAAAATTAACATGGCACACATTAAATGGATTAAAAACTGGCTAACTGATAGGTCTCAAAATATAATTGTAAATGGGGAATCATTATTCTAGTGGGGTCCCACAAGGATCAGTTCTTGGCCTAGCACTATTTAACATTTTTATTAATGATCTGGAAAAAGACATTAAATCATGACTGATAAAGTTTGGCCAATGACACAAAAATTGAGATAGTGGTAAAATCAAAGAGGACAGATCATTGATTCATAGTGATCTGGATCACTTGGGAAACTGGGTGCAAGCAAACAATGTGTGTTTTTAATAGAGCTAAATGTAAATCTTTATATCTAGGAACAGAGATTTTAGGCCATACTTACAGGACGGGGGACTCTATCCTGGGAAGCAATGCCTCTGAAAAAGATTAAGGGGTCATGGTGGAGATTCAGCTGGACATGAGCTCCCAGTGCAATGCCGTGGCCAAAACAGCGATCCTGGGATGCATAAATGGGAATCTTGAGTAGGAGCAGAGAGGTTATTTTACCTCTGTATTTGGCATTGGTGTGACTGCTGCAGGAATACTGTGTCCAGTTCTGTGTCCACGATTCAAAAAGGATGTTAATAAATTGGAGACGGTTCAAAGAAGAGCCACAAGAATGATTAAAGGATTAGAAAACATGCTGTATAGTGATAGAGTAAAGAATCTCAAGCTATTTATCTTAAGAAAGAAAAGGTAAGGGGTTGCTTTATTACAGGCTATCAGTGTCTACATGGGGCACAAATATTTAATAATGGGCTCCTCAGTCTAGCAGAGAAATGTAAAACATCAGCCAATGGCTGGAAGTTGAAGCTAGACCAATTCAAACTGGAAATAAGAGGTACTCTTTTAAACTAATCAATGGAACAATTTACCGAACATCATGGTGGATTCTCCATCACGGCCAGCTTTTGAATCAAGATGGGATGTTTTTCTAAAAGCTCTGCTCTAGGAATTATTTTGGGGAAGTTCTATGGCCTGTGTCATACAGGAGGTCAGACTAGATGATCACAGTGGTCCGTCCTGGCCTTGGAATCTATGAATCTATGAAAAAAAATCATCAGAAGGCTGTGACAACCCTACCATGCCTATACTGCTAAATCGGAGAGAGGTTCCCAGCCAGACCTTGGCTAGGTGGAAGAGAGGTCCCAGCATGGAAAAAGTTGAGCACACCTCCCCTATATAGTTCGATGGCAAGTGGATTTTGGGCCCTGTGCTTCTAGTAATCTAAATCCACCTCTGCCCTCTGTGTTCACACCTGTCCATTGGGGAGCTCCTAGCTCTGAGCCTCGATGGAGAGGTTAAATAGGTGATATACTGTCCCTGTTCACCATGTCAGACAGAAAGATCAGGCTGGGCTTGTTTCTGTTTGCAGCTGTAATGATGCTGCGGATCGGATCGGGTAGGCTTGCAGTCATGAAAGAAGAACGAGGCACTTGATGATAGGGAGACAGATCTTAAGCTGGTTTTAATACTTCAGCACCTCTGGGGACTGTGGCTAGCAACGAAAAAAATCCTGTCTTAACAGATGTAGCACCGCTGTCAGGGATCCATAGGAACAGATGCTCATGTTTTACAATAATCCCATCCATTGTCTAGTGCTATTGTTGTCTTCCATACACTATTTCTCTAAAGTATTTTATTTCTTTCTCACCATGTAAAGTGTGTGCGTGAGAGAGAATTTCTTGCCAGTGGTCTGACCTGCAGCATCTGGTCTTGCTTGCACTGCTGTCTGAAGAAATTCATCACAAAAAGCCGCAGTGAGCCTTTTTCTCCCTCTTGGATTAATCGTCTAAAACATGTCTTTGCAAAGAAAACTAAACATAAATGTAGGACGTGCCATGCTGGATCAGACGTGTGGTCCATCTAGTCCGGTATCCTCATTCCAGCAAGGGACCAAAATGGACAGTTATAGAATAGCCTGCCCATAGGAGAAGTTTCTTCCTAACCCGTTAGTTAGCAGTTGGTTTACACCCTGAAGCATGAGGGTTTATACCCCTTATACATTGTTCTAACCTATGTTATGTCACTGGCTGTTTTCATTATTAACGAAGTTCCCTTTGAGGCTGGCCCTGATCATGTAGTGTTCTTACCTTCCCAGTATCAGAGGGCAGCCATGGTCATGGAGTCCCAAGCAGCATTTAACCAAGGTTCAACCTGTAACAGACTCAAGTTTTGCTAGCCATGGGGCTTGCCCATCCCATTGCTAGATTAAGCTAGTCAAGAGTTGTAGGGGTCCCATGAAGTGCAAAAACGAGTGACATTGGCCAACCCTGGATTATGATTATGGAGGCTGGAGGAGACACTCTTTATGGAAGGCCCTGGACTGGCAGGAGACCTGGGTTTGGTTCCCAATTGTACCACTAACCCGCAGCGTGACTTTGGATTACAAGCCACTTCATCTCGCTGGGCCTCCTGTAAGCTCTTTGAGGCAGAGAATGTTTCTGACTGTGTATATACAGGTCCTAGCACACAGGGGCCTTGATCTTGGTTGCAGCTTCTGGGCACTGGTGTAATAGCAGCAATAATCGTCTCTTTGGTATCCTCCACCAGCAGAGTTCCTGAGGGTAGGCAGGGTGGAAACCCCACCTGGACCACAGTGAGTCTCCCTGGCCCAGAGAGGGAAAGTTGGCTTCTCCCTGCGGCAACGGTGATGTAACTGACCCTTCATAACAGGCAATGACTGCTCGTTCAGCGAGCTGGGAGCACTCCGACACGAGGTTGCTGAGAAGCAGGACGACAGCTTGTGTGTAAAAGGGAAAGCAATATGACACAAAATGGACCAAAGAAGTTAACACAGTGACAGTAAAGCGGTGTCCTTGTGCCGCAAGCTATGTGAGGTTAGCTCCTGCTCTCACCTTGGCACAGCCCCACTGAGGGAGGTCAGAACATGCCCCTCAGTGTCCTAGTCACAGAGCTGCTCACCTTCCAGCGGTGACAGAGCAGAATCTCCCCTGTGCCAAACACTCATGGGGCCGGATTCTGATCTCACTTGCGCCAGAGCAACTCCATTGGCTTCAGGGTAAGTGACGGGGAAATCAGGATCTTGTGGTGCATTCTGCAGGACTGGAATGACTGATTGTTCCTTTCATTATATTTGCAGTGAAATACATTTCAGCCCTTTGGTGATTTACTCTTCTTCCTAATTAGATAGAGCACTGGGAATACGATGTAGCACTGCAGCGGGGGTTTTTTGTTTTTGTTTTTTTCCCCCAACATTAACAACTTAGCTCCGCTGCTTTATGGCAGTGCGATTGCCAGCCAGAGGGGACTGCCAGACTCCATCGAAAACAAAAGCAAGTTGGAATCTGCATTCAGATTAGAGAGAGGGCTTTGGGGATGTTGTCAGTGCCCAAACTGGTTTGAAACTTCATCTTGAGCTCTTTGTCAGTGAATGTACCGCAGCTGGTGCCAGGCTGCCGAGCGTCAGCCTGCAGATTGAAGTTGCTTCATCCCACTCCAGCACACCTCAAACCTGACCTGCAGGGACCATGGCTAGGACTGTGGCAGGGGTGGTTAGTCCCCCTGGCCATTCACTTTCTTTGCCGAGAGTGCCAGCAGAGATGCTAAATGGGATGTGGACACTTAGCTGGTAGTATTACAGTGAGACTTATTTCATGTAGACCACTGAACATCCTTTGGATAGTGGTAATGTCCATTGAGTACCAACCCTGAATGGATTCAGGCTGGAGACCTAGCAAAGAACGGCTTGGTAGCCCATTAGCAATCCCTTCCACCACCCAGTCCACCCTCTGCTTTGCTGTCTCTGTTTGTCTGCCGTCTTTCCCTCTCTGCAGACATTGCAGTTCCCCTTGTCAGGCCTTGGTTCCATGTGCCATGTAACTCAGGTGTGCAGAGTTGTAGCTGCGTCAAGAGGGTGGCAAACCGTGACAGGAAAAATAGGAGGGAGTCGTGGTACAAGCAGAAGAGTGTTCCCCTGTCAGGACAGAGCCCTGCGTGGCTGAGCTGGAGATACTTTAGAGTCTGACACTTTCTGTTACACACCAGCTTCCTGAAACGTATTTAACAGAACATGGATGGAATTTAGTAGTAACAGAGGCAAAAATAACAATACACCAGGGATTGGCTTTAAACTCCAGAAATGTTTTTTAGGTTTAGGGACAGGTCTAGGTACCAGGGCATCTGGCCTCTATTCCTGGCTCTGTGTGACTTGGATACATGCTTTAACCTTGCAGTGCCTCAGTTTCTCCATCTGTTAAATGAGCATAAAACCACCTCCCTCAGGGGGGTTGTGAGGATTACTTATTACAGTAGCACTCTCAGATCCTTGGAGGGAAGGAGATGTAGATAACGCCAAGTATTATTTCCATACCCAGTAAGCTGGGAAGAAATGAAGGCTTTGAATTGCCCCTGCTGGGATTAGGCCCGGTATCTGCAAGGCTCCTAGATGTTTGGAAGTTGATTCTTTGCTTACAGAGTGTCTCCTGCAGCATGAGTACTATGCTTTCAGTGCACTGAAATGACATTGTCCTTCCTCTTCATTGTGCCTGAAGACACAAGCAAGCAGGGGGTTGAAATATACAGCCCCCCTTCTCGCTAAACCCTTCAGAGAGCCATAGTCTGTGGCGGGCTGAACAGAAAGGGGAGGGAAGAGGGATGAATGAATGCAGTTAGCCCAAGCAGCTGCACCATCAGTGCCCCCTTTTGATTGCAGCGATACTCAGCACGCGACACACGGGTAAATGAAGAACAGCACTCGGGTGTGAAGAGAGCTGAATGTAACAGCTTAGAGCCTCCAAACCCCTCACTGATCTCATTTCCTTTCTCTTGCGATGAAGGTGGCTCCCAATATAGCACTAAGACATGGCACAAGGGCACGTTTTATTGGCCCATTAATACCCGCCTTGGGCGAGTTGTGAGGCTCCGCTTCTCGCTGGCACTTTCTCCTCAATAAATGCCGCAGCAAAAGGGAAAGGGGTGGGGGGAGTGGCAGCAGGGAGGGGACCTCTGAAAGGAGGCACTCGCATCTGTTCCGCCTGCTGTGCTTCCTCTCCCAACCTATGGCAGCACCTCCTGCTGGGGCCTTGTCGTTAGAGATGGGCTCAAGCCATGAAATTTGGATCCAGATGTCAAGCATCCCAAAGTCAAGACGGCTTTGCAGCTAGTTTAGTTTCTCCTGTGTTTTCCCATAGAGAAGCTGCGGTGTGTGGTGAGGGCTGGGAACAGCTGTGTCTGGACAACCCCCAAAGTAGTTCATATGCGGCTCATTGCTGTCACATGAGTGCTATGATCATGACTGGCTGTTTTGCCCTACCTGATAATATTATCACCGTACTTAAAGGGATACTCACCCAATTTTGCCCGCCAAATTTGAGTTTTATATATTTAAAAAATACCTTTTACAAAAGTTGAGTGATTGATACGTTTCCATGAATTAGAACAAAAATTGTACAGTAACCATCCCAATGCCAAGTGAGAGGGCATACAGGAGGAGTCCCTCCCTATCAGGGAACTCAACCCTCAAATGGAGAGAAAGAGGGAAAGCCTTGTCTAATGGTCTGAGACCCAGGGACATCTCGAGATCTGGTGCTGGCTCTGTCACTGACTTTCTATGTGGCTTGGAGAAGTCACCTAACCTCTGTGCCTCAGTTTCCCCCATCAGATCAAAGAATCATAGAATATCAGGGTTGGAAGGGACCTCAGGAGGTCATCTAGTCCAACCCCCTGCTCAAAGCAGGACCAATCCCCAACTAACTCATCCCAGCCAGGGCTTTGTCAAGCCTGACCTTAAAAACCTCTAAGGAAGGAGATTCCACCACCTCCCTAGGTAACCCATTCCAGTGCTTCGCCAACGAACTGATATTAACGAACTGAGCGTTCTGAGGAGAGCAGCAGAAATTATCAGGGAAAATGTTAAGAGCCAAAGATTGTTTTGAGAGCTTGATCACCCTGTGACAAAGGTGGGGACATAACCCTCCACATATACTTGCAGGGTGTTCACAGGGAGAGCGAAGAACCATTAGAGTGATGCATGAGGTGTAACTGAGATTAATGGGGTGGAATTAAGAAAGCTGAATGTCAGGTCAGACCTCCTGACAGTGAGATGGATTAAGCTGAGGAATAATCTCCTAAGCGAAGAGGTGGAAGAGCCGTCTCTTAGGACTTTTTAAACTAGGCCAGTTGGGGGACATTTCAAAGGTACAAATGGCAGATAGGTGCCGAACTCCCACTGACTCTATGGGAGTTAGGCACGTAAGCACCACCTGTGCCTTAAAAATCTGCCCCGTTGTTATTGGTTGTTATTTGTATTGAAGTAGCCACTGAGCAGCACCATTGTGCTAACACTGCAAAATGGAGTGTAAGGAACAATCCTGCATAGACAGGGCAATGGACTGGATGATCTAATGGGCGTCTTTCATGCCCCGTTTCTGTGATTCAACAGTAAAACAGGGGAAACAGTACTTTCCTGTCTTCCAGGGGAGGAGCGAGTCAATGTTTGTAAAGCTTGATGAGTGCTAAATATTGCACTACGATTTCAAAAATCACCATCATCACCCAGGATACAAGAAACTGTGAAACTGGTTTCTTCTTATTTTCTCGCTGTTTCCCAAGGGGTGTGCGAATCCCTGTTCTGTCTAAAGGTGGTGATCTGGCAACGAGGTGTCAGATTTATAGATTTTAAGGCCAGAAAGGATCATAAGATCATCTAGTCTCACCTCCTGCATAACACAGCCACAGAATTTCACCCAGTGACTCGAGTATTGAATCAACTGATCCACTGGGGATATAAATGCTTCCAAAAAGGCCCACCCAGACATTCAGAAACTGGCTGTGGGCAATTTGGACTAAATTTCCTGACACCAGCAGCTCTGTTTTCCAGGCTGATTCTGCACGGAGCTGCGCGGGCAAATGTGTGTTTGAGTGACCTTGTTGTACGTGTGCATGCAGCACAGGCACCCGGGCCCCATCGTACAAGATGCTGAGCACTTCCTGGGATGCATCAAACACCCTGAGCTCCCATTGAGTCCAATGGGAGCTGAAGGGTGCTCAGGACCTTTCATGATCAGCTCAGTGCAGGATCAGGCCCTGATTCATAAAAATGTGGGCCTTCTAAAGGCATGTTACAATCATTAACAAACTGACTTCATACCCTTTCTTGGTGAGCCCCCGTGGAGGGACGTGGCTCTGAATTATGCAGTGCTGAAGTAATTACAAGAGGAACAAACAGCAAGATGCTTCTCTGATGTAAGCTGTGCTGCATGTCTTACAGTCTAGCTCTTCCCGCTGTGCTACAGGCTGGTTTCAAGTGGGCTAACTTCAAACAGAGAGTAAGTAGCTTTGAAATGCACTTTTAAGAACGCTGAGCCTAGGAAAGCCCCTCCAATAATGGATTTACCTGCATTTGGTGTGGCAGAGGGTGAAGTGAGAGAGAAAACCAGGATCCACCCTGCTCTGGGAGTCAGGAGATAAAAGGTTGAAGCTGATTCTCTTGCAGAAATCTCCTTCCGTGTGTGGATGTGCGGAGGGAGCCTGGAAATTATCCCCTGCAGCCGGGTTGGACACGTGTTCCGGAAGAAACACCCCTATGTCTTTCCAGAGGGAAACGCCAACACCTATATAAAGTAGGTATTGCGCTCTGGCCTTCTTCATGTACTGCTGAATGATGTGAAAAGGAATTGGGTGTTACTGGGAGAGCACAGCCCACATTAGTAATGGATGAAGGGGGAAAGATTAGACGTGTCAACATTTCAACAGTCTCCCAGCCCAAAGCAGACATAAACCCAGTGCATTTTGGCCCCTCAAGATTTCCCCAGAGCGGGGGATTCCTTCACCATAGTGGTAGTAGTTCCTGTGCCACCTTTCCTGTCCCCTAGCACGAGGGGTGTGGTGGGGAATGCCCCTTCCCCTAGCTGATTCCCAGATGCCACCAGGTTGGCACCTAGCGGTTCTGAAATCAGGGGAACATAGAAGTGTTGTAATGCTACCTTGTCCCCACTGATCCTGGCCTGGGGCTGAGGATAGCTCCTCCAGACCAGAAAATCTGGGCCAAATGCATGCAAGAACATCGCGATAATGGAGACCAAGTCAGAGCAGTGTGTCAGATTGAGATATGGTGCAAACAGTGTGACCCCCTTCCCTCCCCCCAGTTGAGGCTGCCTCCAGAGCAGACCCTCGGGAATGCTTGGAATTCTGACAGCTGGAAGTGACTAGCTCCACTGTGGTTGGCTTCTTAAGATGTAGGATGCTGGGTGACAGATCAGGACTTGGGATGCCTGATTAGAGGCCAATAGACCCCAGTGCTTGTAAACCTTTCAAACACACGCTGATGTGGGCAAAACTAAGCACTCCGTTGCACAGTTAAGATGGCCAAGTTATTACCCTGTGAAGGCACCATTCACCCTCTGGGAAGGTGTTGGAAATAGTTAGCCAAGGAGAAAGTGCAGAAGAGCCAATGGAGTCAAAAGGGCTTTTTCCCCTTTCAAGTTTCGAAGCTGAGGGCTGTCCATTGATATGTTAATAAGGAAAGCATTGTCCATAGATGGGAAGAGTTGTGTTTATCACCAGTTAGTTTCCCAGATAAGCTGTGGGTTTGTGAGTCCCTTTTTTTGGTGTATATTTCTTGATGTTATAAGAATAACTAACAACAAATGCGAATACCCAGTTGCCTGCGGCATGGTCACCTCTTACGTGTCCACTATACGTCTTACTTAGGCTTATCGTGGACTAATGGCGTTGGAAGAGGGTGAGACTTACAAATCAGTTATGTTTTCATTTCCATTCTCAGTTATAGCATGTTAGGTATGATTTTCTGGCATGCAGCAAAGTGGGTGAGGAAAGGGTCTTCACAAATAGGTGCCCAGAAATGAACACATCACCTAGCTTCAGGAAGGGAGCAGTGAAGGAGCGGTGTACACAGATGTTTAGTAAATATAAAGGAGAAAGGAGACAAGTTTTGAGTCCGATCATGGATGGAATGGCCTTGCCTTCAATAATTACAAGAAGTCTGGACCTTAAACTAAAGAACAGGAAGTGGCAAAAGCCCCATCACTGGAGTCATTTAAACCTGGAATAGATAAAGTATTTGATAAGGTGCTATAGGGAACAAACCTGCACTGGTCCCTGTTGGGGATGAACAGGGTGAACTTAAACAGGTTCTGGCTCTAATGTTTGTAATAAAGAAGAGAAGCTTTAATAAATGGAAAAAGAGAGGAGCCCAACCTGATAGCTCATGTACAGACACCCTTGAACTTTGCGAAGTTTTGGCTTCAAACCCAGATTCCAGTTTTGCCATTGGCTCCCATCTCTATTATAGGCCAAACCAAACTCTCTGATCAGAATGCCCTTGAGCATAGGGGGAGTTTAGATCTGGGTTGGAACATCTCCAACAAGAAGAGCAATTAAGCAAATGGAATGGCCACTGTGAGAGGTAGCTGGGGTATTGTCAATAGAACCATTCAAAAGGGGATTGGAAAACATTCTGGGGAATCGTGTGTGTGTGTGTGTGTGTGTAGGCGATAGCAAGGCATTGAGGGCTGGGACCTGACGAGCCCTGTGTTGCCTTGTAGCCCTAACCTCTAGTATTCCAAGATGTGAATTTGGTTGGAGTGTGGACTCTGGTAACCCAATACTCCTGTCTCCCTTCAGGGCTCCCAAAAGAAGCCTGGTACAAAGAAATTACCAAAAAAAAAAAAAGTCCATGTCTCTAGGTTTTTTCCAGGGATTAATTCCTTCCATGCAGCCTCTTTACCACTCCTTTCTGCACCCGTGTCAGTGAAAGACTGCTCAGGTTCCAGAATCATGCACAATTCACATGACAATTGTTGCTTGCTAATTGCCAGGAGTGAGTTTGGTGCTAAACAGGACATAAATCTAAAGTCAGTCCCTGCCCTGAGGCGTTTACAATCTGGTGGTTTTTACAGTGATAGTCTGGACCAGGGGTCGGCAACCTTTCAGAAGTGCTGTGCCAAGTCTTCATTTATTCACTCTCATTTAAGGTTTCGCGTGCCAGTCATACATTTTAACATTTTTAGAAGGGCTCTTGTTGTATGTAAAGTAAATAAGGTTTTTAAAATGTTTAAGAAACTTCATTTAAAATTAAATTAAAATGCAGAGCCCCCCGGACTGGTGGCCAGGACCCGGGCAGTGTGAGTGCCACTGAAAATCAGCTCGCGTGCCACCTTCGGCATGCGTGCCATAGGTTGCCTACCCCTGGTCTGGACCATTAAATCCTGAGGCCATCACTTGCAGAGAGAGTATTCCTGAAACACAGAGAAGTGAGGGAATAGAGATAGAGCAGCAAGAAATATTTGCAAGGAAATCTGAAGCTGCATCAAACTCACCTGGTTCGGGGGTTTGTTATTGACTCTAAACTCCACTCAGGGTCATCACAAGATTTCTGAAAGTCTGCAAGCCTTCTGCACACCTCTGAGCTGATATGGAGAACACCTGAGCCATTTTCTGTCTCACATTGAAGCCGGAGGTGTCAATGGTTTCTATTGAGTTTCACTTTGAGTTTATTCAAATGAAACTCAAGGAGGCAAAGAGGGCAAATGCACATGGCCTGAAATGAAGGAAATATTTGACTGAAACCCTGAGAACCAAAACAGCCGAATTGTATACAGCCTTTTAGAGACCCCCACCAGCTGTGAGACCAAGCCCCAAGCAGGCCTGTCTGGGATGTTACTGTGAGGAGAACTAGCTGTGCTTCCAGGCACAACAGGTGCAAAGCATCCAGTGATCTTATTACACCAGCCAAGATGAGGAACTCCCCCTCTAAGCTGTCGCCTAGATCCTGTATAGCAATTGCAGGAACAGGGAACAGGGCCGGCTCCAGGCACCAGCCAAGCAAGCTCGTGCTTGGGGCGGCAGATTCTACGGGGCGGCATTCCGCCCAATCCTAGGGCGGCACGGCTGTTTTTTTGGGGGGGTTTTTGTTCGCTGATCCGGCCGCCCTGTAGGGGGCGGTGGCGCGGAGGAGGGGAGTGCCCTGCTGGGAGCGGGCTGCGCGCTCTGTCTGCCCCTGCCTGTGCCAGGTCTGTAGCAAGCCCGGCAGGGCAGTCTGCGTCCTTCCCTGCCCGCCGACTGGAGCGGCGCGGCGGTTGGGGCCACGTGGCGAGCGCCCCGCTGAAGCCCTGGCTGCCCCCCTTCTCTCTCTC